ATAATTGTTTATGTATATGTATATGTATATGTATATATATATGTATATGTCTGTATGTATGTATATACGTATGTATTTATATCTATATATATATATATATATATGTGTGTGTGTGTGTGTGTTATATATTATATATATATATATATATATATATATATGTGTGTGTGTGTGTGTATATAGATATTTGTTCATGTATATGTATAAATATATATATATATATATATATGTGTGTGTGTGTATGTGTGTGTGTGTGTATATGTATATGAGTGTGTGTGTGTGTATTCATCTATATATATATACAATGCAAGGGTATGTATATGTTATATGCACATGTTTGATTGACTACTAGCCGTTTGTCGTAGTATGCCTTGTTGAGTATTCAGGTCTTAGATATCTTCGTCCATCACTAGCACATCTCGCTAGAGGCAAAGTGTACCTGTCCTTTTTTTCAGCTTCCAATGAGTCAAACGCCACTCTCCTTTCGCATTTGTAAACGTAACGCTCGTTTCTTCGTACCTGTGACACCTATAGATGGGGTTTGAAGCCTCTGTCCTCGGGCAATTGACACACATCGCAGTGGCTGGCATGACATGCAACTCTTGCGTTAAGAATATAGAGGGCATGCTGGGGGATATGGATGGCGTGGTTAACATACAGGTCAGTCTGAGCGATGAGGATGCCTGGGTAGTGTACGAGAGTGACTTCACCAGCCCCATCGAGCTCTCGCTGGCTATTGAAGACGTAAGTGTTTTATTTGCTTTGCCTGAGTGTCTTGTGTAGAGGGGGTACTAGTACAGTAGGGTGATGATGAATACGTTTGGAATACGATGAACCCGTATATAGTGCTGGGAGCTGGCAGGGCGTGAGTGGGATGTTAAGCGTTAAGTACTGGAGAATGCGTACAAATCTGAATGTATACCGTTCCTGATACTTTTTCCAAGGCGTATCTGTTCGCACAACCACTCATGCAAGCATACCCTCACAAAGCTCACCTACTCCTATCGCATGCACTCACCAATCCACCGACTCAGTATATACACCCTACACCCACGTGCACACCACCACCCGCCATGCAGATGGGCTTTGATGCCGACATCCTGCAACCCGCCGCAGATGTCCAGGAGAGTCAACAGGGCATTACAACCTCACTGGAAACCACCGCACGCTCACTTGAGCGCATCCACACCCGGGCCACAGTCCACCTCTCTATAGAGGGCATGACATGCAACTCGTGTGTGCAGAGCATTGAGTCGACCGTCGGCGAGGCCAAGGCAAGTTATACAGACGGAGTGCTTGGGGGTGTACGTACCATTGGTGTCCTAGATGTGTGTCGGTGTGTACAGGCCTGCTCTCTCGCTCTGTGTACGATGACGGTTTTCTTTTTGTGACGCACACAAGCTTGTTCTGTCTACGGTGGTTTGGAATAGATTATGCAGTTGTTGTTGTTTTCTTATGGGATAGCTTATGTACACTAATACTGTACTGTTGTTGTTGTTTTCTTTTGCGATACCTTATGCTCACTATCACTGTACTGTACCATTGCTGTTGTTCGTATGGTATTGAATACGATGTGGACATTGATGTTATCGGTTGATGGGTTGATTTGTACGTGCCAATTCCAATGATTGACTATTCCTATCATTTTCAAGTCAATTCCAACACACTTAGCGTCCACACACACGCTCGAGTCTACAGATCGAGCACGGAGGAAGCTGGGTGTGCGTATCCGTGGTTATATCACAAGAAGTATGGATGGTAGTTGGAAGAATATTATCTTTATTGAAAGAATATGTTCGCTACCACATACACATAAACGTGCCAGATCGCCGGTTGGGCCGGGAGATTCTCTCACATACGTATCAAATCGTGTGTTAAACTGGCAGTGAGCCGATTGAGTGGGTGACTGGGTCCCTATTGACGAATTGTGGGCGGTTGCCAAAGTTTTTTTGTCGTTATTCTATTCGCTGTTACGTCAACGTACATATCAGGAACAGTACTGCAGGCGTCTTAACGCGTTTACCTGTATATATCCGTATTAATGCATGTGTATATATCCGTATTGATGTGTGGTTTAAGCAGGGTGTGCGCAGGGTGAGCGTCTCACTGGATATGGGTGAGGCGAGTGTAGAGTATGCGGCAGATGAGATCACAGCGGATGAAATAGTCGACCTGGTCAATGAGGTATGGCACATCTCTGCGCTATATGCCGTCACTAAGCAACCCGTTTATAGCAGAGTGTGAAGTTGTTCTGGGGTTCCTTTCTGCTGTCTATCTTTTAGTTTTCTGCGCCAGACGTGTGTAGGTAGATGATCGCCCTTGATAATCGAAGCATACCATTTTCTGTGTCTCAAATGCTACAAGCACATGAAGCCTCTGTGAACCAACGCCTGCCTACCACTGCACCTGCTGATTACTGTGTACGTTAGTGCACAGGCATACCATGCCCGTACACATTTGTATACTGAATGCTTGTCACATGCGTGCACATGCGAGTAGATCCGTAGCAACCAGTACCTACTCCTGGATGCAGAGCCTCGACCACCACCTATACAGGCACACAGTGCCGTAGTGGCCTGACACTCTCGTGAACCAATACACACACACGCACGCACACACACACACACACTTCCTCTCTGCACTATAGATGGGCTTTGAGGCTGTGGAGCTACGGTTGCCTGTGCCCTCTGAGGTTGCTGGGCTTATGTCACCGAAGGACAGGAGACCTGTCAACCGCACAGGCCGGCATTCGCCTGTGCGGTCACCGTCACCACTGAGACAACGCCAGGCAATCAATCACAATGTGAGTGGGAGTGGGGGGGGTGTAGTTGTAGTTGTAGTTGTGCAGGTGGGTATAGTACTGGGTGTGGGAGAAGGCATGTGTATGTCAAAAGGCACGTACACGTGATAGGTAGGACCACGACAGAGACCGTCACCACTTGGACAGCGACCGGAAAGTAATCGCAATGTGTACGATTGGTTGCGGTTGCACATGCGTAGTATAGGTATATATGTACAGGTGTGTATTGGTGAGGATATATGTATAAGCATTAGTATATGTATATATGTACAGGTGTGTATTGGTGAGGATATATGTATAAGCATTAGTATATGTATATATGTACAGGTGTGTACTGGTGAGGATATATGTATAAGCATCAGGCAGCGTAGTATAGGTATATATGTACAGGTATGTATTGGTGAGGATATATGTATAAGCATTAGTATATGTATATATGTACAGGTGTGTATTGGTGAGAATATATGTATAAGCATTAGTATATGTATAAATGTACAGGTGTGTACTATATATATGTATAAGCATCAGGCAGCGTAGTATATGTATATATGTACAGGTGTGTTTTGGTGAGGATATATGTATAAGCATCAGGCAGCATGTCCAAGTCTCCACCACCACGTGCACAACCCCAGCAAGTCTATTAGCATATGGGTGTATATACTTATATCTTGGCACGTGCTTGATGGTTCTGTGCGCAGGCATTCGACTAAAGCGTTTAATATTTGATATAGTCTTGTATTTGCCTAAAACGTTTATGTATTTAATATAGTCTTGTATTGGCCTAAAACGTTTATGTATTTGATTTAGTCTTTGTATTTGCGTAAAGCGTTTATGTATTTGATATAGTCTTTGTATCTGTCTAAAGCATTGTGTATTTATGTAGTCGTCTCATATTCACGCTTCTTTTATTCGATCACAGCTCACCAGCGCTCGGTTGTCCATCGAGGGCATGACCTGCACCTCCTGTGTGAAGAATATAGAGGTCAAGATCGGATCAGAGATCGGTGTTTTGAAGATAAAGGTAAGCCTATCAATTAATCCTGTGCCTTTACGAATGAGATCAGTGTCAGACAGGTACTGGAATACGACATGTGTAAATGTTGCCTACATTCGTAGTTGTGAGTAAGTCTTGTGCTCATTGAGCCACGCCCCGTGCAATAGGCTATGATATTATATCAAACAACGTTGTCAATCGGACAATCACCCAGGACTTTGTAGAGTTATTGCGCGTATTACACTCATATATATATATATAAATGTATGTGTATGTGTATGTGTATGTGCATGCGTATGTGTATGTATATATATATAAGATATATATATATATATACATATATAGATATATATATATATATCAAAAACCCTTCCGCTGAGTGTTGTTACCACGGGAATAAGCTGAGAGCCTGTATACATCAGACCTACATTCATAACTCCCCATTTAACGGTCGTCCTACCTTACTTCTGTACTGGTAAACTGACATCCCCATTGACGAGCGGTATGTGCAGGTCGATTGTCTGGATGTTGATTTGTCTTCTCATGTACTTGTTTCTTATGGGCCTTAGCTGAGGGGTTGTGTATAGTGGTCTGGTGACTATACTAGACCTCTCTCAGTCGCACTGTGTACGCGCATATTGTGATGTGCTGACTTTCTCATCCCCGATAAAAAGTTACAGATAGACTGTCGGATGGCTGTTTTCTCACTATGGCCTTGATACATGCACATATGCGTTTGGATATAAGATATTACAGATAGTTTGTTGAATGGCTGCTTACTTACTATGGCCTTGATGCATGCACATACATAGGTGGATTTGGTAGGTTGCTCGGCGAGTGTAACACTAGACACTTCGCTGACCTCTTCGGCCGCTGTTGCTGAGGCGATTGAGGACATGGGCTTCGAAGCAGCGGTTGTCAGCACATCACTGGCCGTCCCGTCGGTGAGTAATCGCACACCGTGTGATTGTTGAGAGCTGAATATATTAGTATATATATATATATATATATATGTATATATAGCTACATTGAGTCGTTGCGTACCTCTAGACATGAAGTAGACTCAATGATAATATAGGATGCGGGAGATGCGAAACGATACCATATGGGCATTAGAAGATCGCTCGCTAGTTCTATGGTGAATGCACATTTTCGAGCTTGCGTCATTCTATTATATTCATGCGTTTTGTATTGTGCATGCATGGTGTATGTGCGTGTGTGTATTTTGTCTATAATATATATATATATATATATCAATATTCTATACCAGCCCCTATCAAAACCTATCGCTTACTCTAAATCCAAGACACCTACTTCTATCCCCACAGCCATTGCCCAGCAAGCGCAACTCCAATCGCATACAGCCGCTCTCTACCCCTTCCTCCACAGACTCTCTCACGGGAGGGGTGTTCCTGGGGCTAAAGAAGGGGGCCTCCACACAAACCAGTTTAGACTCCCTTGCACTCAAGCGTGCCAGTTCAGACTCGCTGAGTATGCGAAAGATGCGCTCGCTGATGTCAGGCACGTCCACGTCCATCTTCAAGGTCACGGGCATGACATGTGCGTCGTGTGTGGCCAATATCGAGAGAGCGGTTCAGGTGCGTATGGGATAGGCGTAGTGGTTTATGTGTGTATGTAAGTGTGTGTGTGTGTGCTATAATGTGTTGTAGTGTGTGCAGCAACACGTGACTTTAAATGTGTGTGTGTTTGAGTGGTGCTGAGTGTGCGTGCGTTGAATAGCGTGTGTGTGTAACAATAGGCAGTGCTGTGTGTGGCTATGTTTTCGTGTGTATAGCGATACGATAAGTGGCTCTGTGTGTGTTGTATAACGGGTGTATCAGACGGTGGTGCAGTGATTGTGTGTGTGATGGTGCGTGCATATATATATATATATATATATTATGTCTTTTGCATACGGGAGCGTGGGTGATGGACATGGTGTCCTTATTCGCCTCTCCCAGTCTCTATGGCTGGATTGAATGATGTTTATGTTTGCGACACATATTGGATGATATTAAAATTTCACTGTGTATGCAAAAGAAAGAATGACGGAGACTTGGTGAATATGTCACTGCTGCTGTTTGCCGCCGCCCCGCACTTTCTGCTTTCTGATTGGGTTATATTTATAGTTAAAATGCTCACGGTTCTAATTATATCTCATCACGTATACAGAAACACCCAGGCGTGGTAAAGGTCACCGTAGGTCTTTTGTCGGAGAAAGCTGAAGTCGAGTACGACGCCACGCTGACCTCTCCCGCTGAGATTTGCGCCAAGATCTGTGCCATTGGGTTTGGAGCGGTGGCGTTGGAAGACAAAGATCCCGGGGAATGCGTGCTGACTATCAAAGGTGTGTGCTAGTACTTGTACGAGGCATGGTACTTACAGGGAAATGACAGGGCATCAACTAGGGACAGTAGCCCATTTGATTGGGACACTGCTATTGTATACACATACATACATACAGACACTTATTGTATACACATACAGACACTTATTGTATACACATACATACATACATACATACACCTATTGTATACACATACATACATACATACGTACATACACCTATTGTTTACACATACATACATATATACATACACCTATTGCATACACATACGTACATACATACATACACTTATTGTATACACATACATACATACATACATACACCTATTGTATACACATACATATATACATACATCTATTGTATACACATACATACATATACCTATTGTATACACATACATACTACATCTATTGTATACACATGCATACATACATGCACCTGCATGCTCATCAGCTATGACATCATACTTGTGCAGCACGGCAGAACATCACGTATATCTCACAACAGCACTTGCGTATAAGCATCTTCATGTACTCTAATATAACCCATTGCCTGTGCATATCTCACCACATCACTTGCGTATAAGCATCCTCATCTACTCTAACATAACCCATTGCCTGTGCATATCTCACCACATCACATGCGTATAAGCATCCTCATGCACTCTAACATAACCCATTGCCTGTGCATATCTCACCACATCACTTGCGTATATGCATCCTCATGTACTCTAACATAGCCCATTGCCTGTGCATATCTCACCACATCACTTGCGTATAAGCATCCTCATGCACTCTAACATAACCCATTGCCTGTGCATATCTCACCACATCACTTGCGTATAAGCATCCTCATATACTCTAACATAACCCATTGCCTGTGCATATCTCACCACATCACTTGCGTATATGCATCCTCATGTACTCTAACATAGCCCATTGCCTGTGCATATCTCACCGCATCACTTGCGTATAAACATCCTCATGTAGTCTAACATAACCCATTGTCTGTGCATATCTCACCACATCACTTGCGTATATGCATTAAATATATATATATGTATATATAGATATATATATAGCATCTTCATGCACTCTAACATAACCCATTGCCTGTGCATAGGCATGACTTGTTCCTCCTGTGTGGCCAACATCGAGCGCAATGCCATTAAACTAGACGGCGTGACCATGGCCGCAGTTTCGCTTGCCACCAACACGGGCAAGTTCCAGTTTGATGCCGATAAAGTGGGCGCCAGAGACCTAATAAAACACATCAACAATCTAGGTACGGTATGACATGGACACACGCATGCGCACGTTACAGGCGTATCTGTGTTGGGTGGGTGGGTGTGTCTGTGTGTGCCTATGTTGTAAATGTGTGGTCACTGCATGGATATCTGGGAAGTGGGTACATGTTGTGTGCCGTAGGCTGTGGGTCGGCTGAGTATGTGTGTCTGTATATATATATATATGTATATATATATATATATGTGTGTGTGTGTGTATATATATATATATGTGTGTGTGTGCATGTATGTATGCATGTATGTATGTAAGGATTTCGTCGTTTAGGCCTTTAATGATTGATTCGTCTCCGATCGTCACCTAATACTTTATGTCACTAAGAATTGTATGACACTTTCATCTCAATTCCAATATAATTCTCTGCCGCATTGTAGTTTGATAGTCGTCTACGCTCAATGCGCATCCATCTCACACACTAGTGGTTGTAGTTGATCAGTCTCTGCACCGTCTTAAGCCGTCGTGCTATAGGTACTGACTTCAACGTCTCTCTTGATGGACCGCAATAGGCTGTACTGCCGCATATATCCCTGCCCATGTGCCTTCGCCTATCACTGATATTAATATATTCCGCTATCCTATGCAACCCTTCAAAACCCAACCCTAAAACGCATAGGTTTTGATGCGTCTCTGAGTGACGGCAACAAACTAGAGTCTATGGACCATTCGCCCGAAGTTCGGAAGTGGAAGCACCGGTTCCTCTTCTGCCTCGTGTTCTTTGTGCTGACCTTCATAGTGATGCTGCTGTGCAATCTGCATGCCACTATGAAGTACATGATGGCCTTGGTGGTAAGTGCACAACACTCGCAAAAGCATACTCCCGTGCACGATATATATATATGTATGTAAGTATATATATATATGTGTGTGTGTGTGTGTGTGTGTGTGCGTGTATGTACATGCAACCGACCTCTGTTCTACTCTTCGTCTATTGTGCCTGCGAAAGTGTGGTGCAGAATCGCAGACGAACCATAAAGCACGTGGTGCTATTGGAGGCGGTTTTATATCAACTATCTGTATACCTACAACCCCTTCACATACTCTTTAATGTACCCTTGCATGCCTGTGTAGTCGTCACCATACAGCCTAGTCCGCCGTAATCTCATCTCTCCGTCCCTCTTTCCTCGGCGGGTGTTCATCTCAGGTGCCTGGGGCTTCGCTATCCAGCCTGTTGATCATGTCGTTTGCTACTATAGTGCAATTTGTGATTGGTAAATCGTTCGTCGTGTCGGCCTACAAATCACTCAGACACGGCAGGTATGAGCATTGAGCATGCGAAATGTATGTATTTATAGCTTGAACCTATTTATGGCGTACTATAGTTTTCCGAATAACACCCAGATATAACGTATGTGTAAATTGAGCTGGTATATGCAAGCGGCTTGTCGATTCTTACTCGTGCGAAGGTGCCTGCACGTGGCGCCTGATTACCGATGGCAGGCGTAGGCGGGGGATCTTCGGCCCATCCTTCTATTACACACTAAGAGGTGTACAAATCCTGCACGATATACATGAATGAATCCTAACGCATGTCAAGCGTGTGTGTTTGTCTCTTGTTATGTGTTTCTCGTCGTAGTTGCCGTCGATTCACAACTCTCATAGATGGTACCATGGCAGACACAGGCGTGGGATCTTCAACCCGTTTCTTACCGTATACACGCATTAGAGATGGACGACCCCCCACCTATATACCTACATGGATCTCAATGTGTGTCTCAGATTATGTGATATCTCTTCCTACCTACTTTCTCTGTACTCACAACACTTCATGCAAAATGCATCTGCAAACACTTCGGGTATGCGCATTGTATAAAGCCACGGGGGATGAGTCCGCGGATATTCGCCTATAGCTCACACGGTCATGGCTCAGTCATTGACTCCAAAATACTACCTAATGCAGAACCTACCTACACATAATGGCTCCATGTACACACGCTTAATATACTCCCGAATG